TGTGTATGTGGTAGAAATTTGCTCCCATTCTGTAGGCTCTGTATTCACCTCTCTAATCATTTCTTTTGCTGAGAAGAAGCTTTTCAGTTTGAATCTATCCCATTTTTGATTCTTAATTTTATTTCTTGCACTATAGGAGTCTTATTAAGGAAGTTGGGGGCCTAATCTGACATTATGAAGATGTGGGCCTACTTTTTCTTCTATTAGATACAGGGTCTCTGGTTTAATTCCTAGGTCCTTGATCCACTTTGAGTTGAGTTTTGTGCATGGTGAGAGATAGGGACTTAATTTCATTTTGCTGCATGTGGATTTCCAGTTTTCCCAGTACCATTTGTTGAAGAGGCTATCCTTTCTCCAATATATGTTTTTGGTGCTTTCATCTAGTATGAGATAACTATTTATGTGGGTTTTTCTCTGTGTCCTCTATTCTGTAGCATTGGTCTACAAGTCTATTTTGGTGCCAATACCATGTCATTTTTGTTACTATTGCTCTATAGTATAGTTTAAAGTCTGGTATAGAGATGCCACCTGCTTCACTCTTGCTAAGGATTGCTTTGGCTACTCTGGGCCTCTTATTTTTCCAAATAAATTTCATGATCGCTTTTTCGAGTTCTGTGAAGAATGACATTGTGATTTTAATAGGAATTACATTAAATCTGTATATTGCTTTTGGTAGTATGGTCATTTTGATAATACTACTTCTGCCTATCCAAGAGTAAGGGAGATATTTCCATCTTCTAAGGTCTTCTTTAATTTCTTTCTTTAGCATTCTATAGTTTTCATTGTAGAGGTCTTTCACCTCTTTGGTTAAGTTGATTCCCAAGGCTTTTTTTGTTTTGTTTTGTTTTGTTTTTGAGGCTATTGTAAATGAGGTAGTTTTCTCTTTTAGAGGATTTGTCACTAATGTACAGAAATGCCTTAGATTTATGGGTGTTGATTTTATATCCTACTGCTTTGCTGAATTCATTTATTAGTTCTAGAAGTTTTCTGGTGGAATTATTTGGATCCTCTAGGTATAGAATCATTTTGTTGGCAAGTAGTGATAGTTTGAGTTTTTCTTTTTCTATCCGTATCCCTTTAATTTCTTTCATCTGTCTAATTGCTCTGGCTAGAGTTTCAAGAACTATGTTAAATAGAAGTGGTGAAAGAGGGCATCCCTGTCTTGTTCCAGTTTTTAGAGGGAATGCTTTTAATTTTCTCCATTTAGAATGATGTTGGCCATGGGCTTAGCATAAATAGCTTTTACAATGTTGAGATATGTTCCTGTTATCCCTAGTTTTTCCAGTGTTTTGAACATGAAGGGGTGCTATATTTTGTTGAATGTTTTTTCTGCATCTATTGAGATGATCATATGATTCTTATCTCTTTTTATAATATTTTTTTTAGTTGTAGATGGACACAATATCTTTATTTATTTATTTTTATGTGGTCCTGAGAGTCGAACCCAGTGCCTCACACATGTGAGGCCAGCACTCTACCACAGAGCCGCAACCCCAGCCCCATATGATTCTTATCTTTAAGTCTATTGATGTGATGAATTACATTTGTTAATTTCTGAATGTTGAACCAACCTTGCATCCTTGGAATGAACCCCACTTGATTGTGGTATACTATCTTTTTAATATATTTTTGTATTTAATTTGCCAGAATTTTTTTTGAGAATTTTTGCATCTACGTTCATAAGAGATACTGTTCTGAAGTTTTCTTTCTTTGATGTGTCTTTGTCTGGTTTTGGAATCAGGGTGATATTGACCTTATAGAATGAGTTTGGAAGGGATCCCTCTTTTTCAATTTCATGAAATAAATTGAGGAGTATTGATATTAGTTCTTCTTTGAAGGTCTTGTAGAACTCAGCTGTGTATCCATCTGGTCCTGGACTTTTCTTGGTTGGTAGGCATCCAATGGCATCTTCTACTTCATTGCTTAAAATGGATATGTTTACATTGTGTATATCATCCTGATTTAGTTTGGGCAGATCATATGACTCTAGAAATTTGCTGATGTCTTTGATATTTTTTATTTTACTGGTGTACAAATTTTCAAGATAATTTCTAATTATCTTCTATATTTCTGTAGTGTCCGTTGAGATATTTCCTTTTTCATCACCTATATTAGTGAGTTTTCTCTCTCCTTCTCTTTGTTTTCATAGCTAAGGGTTTGTCAATTTTATTTATTTTTTCGAAGAACCAATTTTTTGTTTTGTCAGTTTTTCAGTTGTTTCAATTTTATTGATTTCAGCTCTGATTTTTATTATTTCCTTTCTTCTACTGCTTTTGGTATTGATTAGTTCTTCTTTTTCTAGGGCTTTGAGATATAATTTTTGGTCATTTATTTGATGACTTTTTCTTCTTTTAAGGAATGAATTCCATGCAATGAATTTTCCTCTTAGTACTGCCTTCATAGTGTCCAGAGATTTTGATATGTTGTATCAGTGTTCTCATTTACCTCTTAAGATTTTTTAAAAATCTCCTCTTTGATGTCTTTTGCAACCCATTGTTCATTCAACAGCATATTATTTAGTCTCCAGGTGTTAGACTAGCTTCTATTTTTTTATGTCATCATTAATTTCTAATTTCATTCCATTATAATCTGATAAAATGCAGGGTACTATCTCTACTTTTTTGTATTTGGTAAGAGTTGCTTTGTGGCATAATATATGGTCTGTTTTACAGAAGGATCCATGTGCTGCTGAGAAGAAAGTGTATTCATTTATTGATGGATGAAATAGTCTATTTATGTCAATTAAGAGTATGTTATTGATTGTATTATTGAGTTTTGAGGTTTCTTTGCTTAGCTTTTATTTGGAAGATCTATCCAATGGTGAAAAATGCATGTTAAAGTTACCCAGAATTATTGTGTTGTGGTCTGTTTGTCTCTTGAACTTGAGAAGAATTTGTTTGATGAATGTAGATGCTCCATTGTTTGGGGCATATATATTTATAATTGTTATGTCTTCTTGATGTATGGTTCCCTTAAGCAGTATGAAAACCTTCTTTATCCCTTTTGAGTAACTTTGGCTTGAAGTCTACTTTATTTGATATGAGGATGGAAACCCCTGCTTTTTTCTGCAGTCCATGTGAGTGGTCTGTTTTTCCCAACTTTTTACCTTCGGTCTGTGGATGTCTTTTTCCTATGAAATGAGTCTCTTGAAGGCAGCATATTGTTGAGTCATTTTGTTAAATCTAATCTTTTGATTTGGTGAGTTTAGGCCATTAACATTCAGGGTTATTATTGAGACAAGATTTGTATTCCCAATCATTTTTGTTTATTTTTGATATTTAACTTGACTTGGTTTCTCTTTTGTTTGGTTTTTCCTTTAGTGTAAGATTCCCTTTGCTGATGTTCATTGTTGTTTTTCATTTCCTTCTCATGGAATATTTTGCCAAAGATGTTCTATAGTACAGGCTTTCTAATTGTAAATTCTTTTAACTTTTGTTTATCATGGAAGGTTTTTATTTTGTCATCAAATCCAAAGCTTAATTTTTCTGGAAATAAGATTCTTGGTTGGCATTCATTTTCTTTCAGAGCTTGATATATTTTGTTCCAGGATCTTCTAGCTTTCAGGGTCTGGGTTAAAAAATCTGCAGAGATCCTAATTGTTTTCCCCTATATGTAATCTGATTCCTTTCTCTTGTGGCTTTTAAAATTGTATCTTTAGTCTGTATACTAGACATTTTCATTATAATGTGCCTTGGTGTAGATCTGTTGGAATTTTTGTACATTTATTGTCCTGTAAGCCTCTTATATTTGGTTTTCCAATTCATCCTTCATGTTTGGGAAATTTATTTCATTGAAGAGATTGTGCATTCCTTTGGTTTGAATCTCTTTTTCTTCCTGTACCCCGATAACTCTTAGATTTGGTCTTTTGATGTTATCCCATAATTCTCAGTTCATAGTTTCTTACCATCTTCACTGTGTGGTCAACTTTGTTTTCAAGATTATATATTTTGTCTTCATTATCTGACATTCTGTCTTCCAAGTGATCTAGTCTGTTAGTGATGCTTTCTGTTGAGTTTTTTATGTTGTTTATTGTTTCCTTCATTTCAAGGATTTCTGATTTTTTTCAGAATCTCTCTCTCTTTCTTGAAGTAGTCTTTTGCTGCCTACAGTGGTTCCCTTATCTCTTTGTTTGTGTGATCAGTGGTTGCCTGTATTTGCTGTCAACTCTTCGTTGGAGTGATCAATTTTTCCCTGTATTTGCTCACTTAGGTCATTCTTTGATTCGTAGATCATTTTAATTATGTACATTCTGAACTCCTTCTCTGACATTTCATCAACTGCGCTGTCCATGGATTCTATTATTGTAGTATCTTGGTTTGTTTGGGGCACTTTCCTCCCTTGTTTTTTCATGTTGTCTTCCTTTCTTGCATATCTGAGGTATTACAGTTTCTACACTATCTTACAGTGTCCATGCAGATTACCTGTACCTCACCTTGGTGTTGGGCTTCCAAACTCCCGCCAGTGTCTCACGATAAATGCTACTGCAACTAAACTAAAGGTGGTGGTGGCAATAGCAGAGATAACTCAAGATAGCAGTGAGGGTGTCCCAAGATGGATGCAACCACTTTCAGAGATGGGGCTGAAAGGGTGGGCTTCCTATTCAGAGATGCAGCTGCCTCCAGACCCTATCTGTTGTCCCAAGGTAGAGGCTACTGCATGGGGAAGGCTATGGCTATGGCTGCAGTGTTCCAAGATGGAGGTGGGGTAGGCCTGGGTTCCTGCGTGGGTCTGCTGATTGGTGGGGGTGGTCCTGGGCTGGGGCCTGGCCTTGGCTGGGGGTGGGGGAGTATTGGTGGGGCGGTCCTGGGCCAGGGCCTGGGCCTTGGCTCTTTCGAGGATCGGCGGGGAGTCCTTGGTATTACTTCTTTATGTAAAATATTCTGATTTCTTTTTCCTGTTTATAATTAAATAGTTTAAAGGTATTAAGTCCTTAGCTTCCATATTTAAGTGGACATCTAACAGTTGTAATGTTTTGTTTTCTCTTTCTTTTTTTCTTGTAGGCAAAGTGATTAATAAAGATTTGCGACATTACCTGAGTCTTCAGTTTCAGAAAGGATCAATTGACCACAAACTGCAGCAAGTGATCAGAGATAATCTCTACTTGAGAACCATTCCATGTAAGTATGTAATGGAACAAAAGAAACAAGGCAGAAATATCCTTGCTTAACTAATAAGACATTTAGAAATAATTTAGAATCCAGTGTCTCATAAATTGTGAAGACTAAGTTGGGGACAAGAATGAAACACAAATAAGGAGAAAAACTTTCAGAGAACTTCAGAGGTTTGATTTTTAAAAGTAGAAAAATTGGAAGAATATATTGTGTCACCAAAGTTTCTAATTATGTTTTGGGGTTTTTAAAAATATTTTTTTAGTTGTCAATGGACCTTTACTTTGTTTGTATGTGGTGCTGAGAATCGAACCCAGTGCCTCACACATGCCAGGCAAAGTGCTCTACCACTGAGCTACAACGCCAGCCCCTCTAATTATGTTTTAAAAATATATATTCCTCTGGTCCTCTGCATTTCCTTAGACCCTTACCTTTTCTTGCTTAGAGTATTTTTCTTTTTGTTTTCTTTCTCCTTGCCCCCACTTTAAAAACAACAAACAAACAAACAAACAAAAAAACCCATAGTATCATATAGTGGCAAAGTACCAGCCAGGTAAAACTAAGTTCAGAATCTTGACTCCAGGATCTTACTCACTGCTTCAGTTGGGCAAGTTAATGTTCCTGATCCTCAGTCTCCATATATAAATTGAGAATAATACGACACACCTCATATAGTTGTTACCAAAATTAAAATGTTAACCTGTGTGTAAACCACTCGAGCTAGAGTAGGCACTACAGCAATTTGTCTCTTGACCCCTTCTAACTGGATTCCCTCCCTCTCATGTCACCTTAGTCCAGTTCATTTTTAAAGTATACATATGATTCTGGTCAGTCATTTATCCTTCAGTCCAGACTCCTTAGCATGGTATAAAATATTTTTTGTCCTTAAATGACTCCTTGTCTATAATTTCTTTCCATAAGTCTAACTTGTCAAATTTCAGAAATATAACTCCTGCCTTCTTTAAAATTTATTTACGTAATGTACCTGTTAATTTTTTTTATTCTTAAAAATTTTTGATCTCTTTGTTTTACAAGCAGTTCTGATCTTTACTCAATAACCAGTGTGAAACTTTTTAAAATATTTATTGATGTAATCATCATCTTTAGCCTCAGTTCTATCATGTTTTTCTGTTTTACCATATGGAAGTCTTGTATATAATAAGTCTTTTTCTATGTAGTCTTATTTTATTTGATCTCTCTCTTTTTAAGAAGGTTTATATCTTTATTCTTACAGATTTTTTATAATTGAGCTATGTCTACATTTGCAAAGCAAACAACTCTTGCATTACTGTACCTTCCCCTTTGTAATCATCATTATTATTCTGTGAGTAAATGCATATTTAGTTTTACCCCAGTCCTTATGTTGTGGTTGTCTAAAGCTTATTCTTAAGCAACTGTGGTTGTCTAAAGCTTATTCTCCATTAGATTTCCCCAGAAAAGTTCGCAGGATCATCTTAGCAGTTTGTGACCTTTATTCTTTGCTGTGTGTTTGGACATTTATTAAATTTTGGGCTCTTATTTGGACATTTATTAAATTTTGGGCTCTTATTAATTTCAAAAGAAATTACTTTTGAATAGAAGACAACAAAATGATGGCACTGAATAATATGATATCCACAATGTCCAGCATCTACTCAAAAATGACTATAGATATTCACAAAAGTAGGAAAATGTGATCTATATTAATTTTCTTTTGAAAGGTTAAGAGAGCTTTTAACTTTCTTTTTGTGGAAAAAGTGGCAGAATGATTCCATGTTTTACAATGTCACCTTTAAACAAATCAGGCTCTCCTTAATACCTTCCAAAAATACATTTACATTGTAATTCCAGTGTGAAGAGTAACACAAAATTGTATATTTAACTTATTGAGAATAGGTTACTTTATCCAGCTACATAACATCAAATACACAAATAAAAACCAACCAAATTTGTTATTTCCATACAAACCCAAGAATTGTGTTGCACCTAATTTTAGTTTTGAGAATACCAACTTGGCAAAGTGCTCTCCAAAGCTTTACATTTAACTAAATTTAACTTTTAAAGTACAGTTTAGAATCCAGAATATACAGTAACAATAATCACAGATCTGAATGGTTTAACAATAATCAAAGTCTAGCCTTAAATCTTTTATAACTTTTAGCAAACAGTGTTAATCATCAGAAGTTGACTTAGCCAAAGAAAACAGATATAAGATAGGTCTTCAAGTGACAGTGTGGACCTTCTATGTCAGATAAAATGTATAAAAGAGAGCACTTATTAGTTATCTTGCCTTTAAACTTACATGAACTTTCATTTTATAAACTTTTACATAGCACTTAGACAAGGCTTAGTTAGTTCTCAGATGCATACATATATCTAGTCACATATATTTTGGGTAAAACCTAAATAACAGTTGTTTGTTTAACCAGTTACAAAGTAATCATTTAAGATTTTAAAACAGGTACAAACCCTAATTCCTTTAAGACTTAATTTCCCCAAGTAGCAAAACTTAATACAAGAAAACTATATCAATAGGTAAGAGCAGATCAATGTTTCAGACTTTGCTTCATATAAGTACATTAAAGTTCAAATAACTCTAACTGAATGTGCTAATTATAGCCAATTTAATGACAAAACACAAACTTTTTGAGATTTACCGTCTGCAAACCTTCTGCGACTTACTTAAATGTTCAAAACTTCTTTACATCTTAGTTTTGCCCTCTTTCATCTTGAACTTTAGCAAAAGAATATTAATTTGCCAGACAAAATACTTCCTCATCCAGAAACATTTCTTTTACCTTTGAATTTTCTGTACTACAATATATTTCCATACTTATAACTTTCTTTTATCTTTTCTACTTTTGGACCATTTCTTAAATTCATATTCTAAAACAGACCTTATGAATGTTATCTGTGCATTTAATTTACACAACAAATTTCATCCCAAGAGAGGATTAGACAATCCAGCATATACAGAAAAACTGTACCGTAATCTTTTCCTCCTAGGTTACATTCAGGGGATTGGAGCACAGGATATTTTTGAGCCTGGCCTGTCTCCGTTACCATAATCATAATGCCATCAACTTAACAAGTGAGTTCCTCATTGTCAGCTGTACCCAGAGGCTCCTTTGGGGCCTTTTTCTTTTACTTTTGTTTTTTTTAAAGGGGGGGGGGAGGGAATTTTTTTTTTTTAATATTTATTTTTTTTAGTTTTCAGCGGATACAACATCTTTGTTTGTATGTGGTGCTGAGGATCGAACCCGGGCCGCACGTATGCCAGGCGAGCGCGCTACCACTTGAGCCACATCCCCAGCCCTGGGGCCTTTTTCTTATACTAGGCATATTGATACAATGGAGGAGGCCCATTTCATCCTTTTCTTTATTTTTCCTTGAGACCCCCTTGTGGAGGCTGCCTACAAAACACAGGTTGGCCTTAGTTTCTGTATTTTCCTTTTCTGGATGCAGTTATGTGTTCTGCCAGTCTCCCTGGGCATTTAGTTTGATGGGCTACTAATACACCAAGAATTGCTTTGCCCCAGTGATGAATATCCCCTGGCCAATTGGTTCTCCTGTCAGGTCTTAAAAAGGGAGATTATTCCTATCCCCCGGTCATAAACTGACAGTGCTGGAACCTACTGCCACATCCTTTGTGGCCAGCAGTCTCTATCCACAGAGGCCAGGTTTTCTTTGGCCATGTCCTGCAGCCCAGCAGCTTTTCTATATCCCCCTGCCCTGTCCCCCAGTTTAGGGTTTAGGGGTAGTGTCCTTGACCATAGTGAAATGAGATGCAGGCTGAGCAACAGTGCTGGGAGCCAGTACTGGGTTTAAAAGATTTAAATCTTTTTAACCCTTTCTTCTGGTGTTCTGCTATCCTTCACACCAGAGGCAGTGCCTTTTTGCACCTTCATCTTGGTTCCTATGGTTCAGACCCCTTAGCATGCAACTCCATCAATGCCTGTGCATACAGAATCTCTTTCATATACTTTACCCCTGACAAACCAACTTCAACATCAAGATTGTATAATAATCCAGAAAAAAACATTTAAAGGCCAGATTGTATTACAGTAAATCCTCTTTCTCTTAGACAAGCTTTTACCCATAGGTGACCCATGCAGCTAAGATCTGTCTGCTCAAGAGACTACTGGTAAGATCAATGCAGTATGGCCCACGTCTTAAAGGGACAGTAACAGACTCCCCCCGCCACACACACACACACAAAAAAAAAAAAAAAAAAGAGAGAGAGAGAGAGAGAGGATCACCAAAACTAGGGCTGACAGACAGGAACCTTTAAAACAGACAGACCTGCACATATAAATTTCTTCCACTTATTTTACCTTTGACAGACCAACTCCAAATGCAAGATTATATAATAATCTAGAAATCTATTTAAAAGCCAGATCATTACAGTAAAACATTATGGTAGGCAGACTTATAGGTGGTCCTTTGTTCAACTCACTTTACCTCTGACAGGCCAACTCCAATTGCAAGATTGTACAAAAAAGAAATACAGAGAGAGAGACAATCTGAGAGGAGCCCCCAAACCATGGCCAGCAGAACCTTTAAATTGACCAGCCACAATCTTTCCCAACACTACTCATAGAATCAGTGCAGTACTGGCCATGTCTTAAAAGAGGCAATAGCAGATAAACACAAAACAGGCAACCAGAGGAAATTCCCAAACCGTGGTCAACAGCGGGGAACCTTTGAAACAGACCAGATGGGGGATATCCTAAGTTCCCAACTCCTGCTTAACTGTGACTTCTACACCAGCAGTACCACAGATATCCCCACGAAGAGGGACCACACATTCCTACAAAGGGGAACCAGATGTGTAGAAGCAAGGGTCTCAGTGTGCACACTGGAGGAGCTTTACTGAATGGTCAAAGTTGTCATGACTTTCCTGAGTTCAGTTTCCTTTTTTCAAAGTAAAGCATTTGCTGGAACAACTTGTGCAGTTCAGGGAGAGAAGGTGGAAGTCCCCTGAAGCAAAAAGAGTGACGGCAGCTGCTGGAAGCAGTCCTCTCTTTACT